AGATAATGTATTACCATTTGTTTCAGGCAATGGTACAGAACCAGTTGGATGTAATCCATGATTTTTCATCAACAATTCATTATTTTGTTCAGCAACCAGTAGGCAAGATATAAGTTTTGAGTACTTTTTAGAGCCACGCTCACGATATTGCTGTTACAGGAGCACATTCGAGGCATGAAAGGTGGAGAAAGTTTTTCCAGCATATCTTCATCGGTGATTTTTTTTCCACACAAAGTCAACTTTGAACATATTCTGAACAATTTAGAATTGTACTCACTAACCGTTTTAAAGTCTTGCAAACGAAGGTGCATCTACTCATAATGGGTTTTGGGGAGGACTATAGTCCTCTGATGATCAAATCTTTCAGTTAACTTTTTTCAAAGAACTTGTGGATCTTTCTCAATGAGATATTCAATTTTTAATCCATCGTGAAGATAGTGACGGAGGAAAATGAGTACTTTTGCACAATCCTGCAAGGATTCATTTTTTCCTTCTTTTATTGTCTCTCCCAGACCCTTTGAAACGAGATGGATATCAGCATCCAATATCCATGACAGATAATTTTTACCAGATATGTCAAGTGCAGCAAATTCAAGTTTTGTAATGTTTGTCATTTGTTTAACTACACAATAAAAAAATAAAATTAGTTTCGAAGAATATGATTAATCATAACATGTTAATCAAATAGTCAATATCAACATGACTTTAAATTACGTATTTTCCTTTAGGGATAAACACTAATTTGAAATAATATGCTCTTCGAAACATATGTTACTTCTGGAACACATTATATTTTGCTATTATTTCTTCAAGTGCAATATGTCAATATTTTTCTGGAATATTGAGAGTTATAATTTATGCTATTCAGGAGCAAATAATATTCTTATAATGTTGTGCTACTTCTGGAGCAACAACGAATAGATCTATGATTAATATTCTTCTGGAATATTAATTATAATGTTGTGTTACTTCAGGAGCAACAACAATTAAAAATAAATTTAATGTAATGTTTCATAACTAAACATAAAAAAATGATAATACACCCAATTACTCACCATTAATTAATATACAAACACATGTAAAATATTATTTTGAATTAATAACGTGAGTCGAGTGAAACACAAAAAAAAATTGGTGACATGTAGAAACCTATTCACATAGTATGACACGAAATTCTAATTTTGTGCAATTAAAAGAATTGAATTAGTATTAACCAATTAAGGCATGAAATTTGCAGAAACCAATGGATTTGAGAGAAAAGATGAGTTGGGTACATTTATTTGTTAATTGTAAATTTTATATATATGGAATCAGCCAAAATAGAGATCTGAAATTGAAGCTTGCTTACAAAGAACATTGACCAATTAAACCAAAAAAAAAAAATTTAAGTATGTGTAGAACATAAAGGGCTAATCTAAATATAAGGAAGGTATAGGAACATGAATTAATGCATATCAATTGATTTAACATAAATATATCTCCATAAAAATGCACGTGGATTGATGTAAAGGAAAAAAATATTAATTAATTCAAAGAGAGGTACAAAGAAAAACATAATGATCGAGAAAGATGAGATCACGTATTGCACATTCAACATATGTATATGTAAAATTCACGTATTATCAAATTAATTTTGATATACGTGATAGATGATTATAAAAAAAATTACTATCTTCTAAGAGTTTCGTGCTGATAACGTGTTATAAAATGAAAGGAAAAGAGAATAGAGAAAACTCAATAAACTTTTTTGTGTGTATTATTGAAAACTAAAGCCCTATATTTATAGGTAAGAATCAGGGATACAATGATAATAATTTCTAGGGTTACAGGAGTATAAATGTCATTCACCAATAAACTTTAATGGACTTTCCATTTACAACATAAATAAAATTTTAAATAATAATAATATTAATATTAATATTAATATTTAACCAATCCAACCCATCAGCCCCATAACCCAATTCAACTGTTCTCCAAACCTAAAATCATTCACCTTTTTCTCCCCCTCTCCATCTTCTCTACCAATTACGCACGATGCCACCACCCCTTTTGACGATCGTCGTTCTCTTCTCTTGCACCATCGTCGCGTTGTGCTGCCACTGCTTAGCCTTGCACCACTGTTGTGTTGTGCCAAACCACCTCGCACCAACCCCATCACTCAGCCTTGCACCAACACCGCTATGTTGTGCACCACCGTTCACCTCACAACAACCCCCACCTCAACCAGCATGTTGGATTTTTCAATATGGCTGTGCGAATCGATGTTTTTTATCTTTGTTTTGAGTTGGCAGGTGGGGATTGTGTGGATGAAAAGGCACGATGAAAATGGTAATGTGTAATTAGTTGACTAAGCTGTTGATTTGACGTATGAGGTCGTGGTGCTGGATGTAGGGGCGAATGATGTGCCAACGCTGAATCTGGGAGATTTGTTGGTTGGTGAGTTTTGTTGGTCCCGATTTGGGAAAATATGGTCACGAACTAGTGCTGAAATTTTGGAGTGTTTTGTTGATTGTGTGCAGTTGGTGGTGGTGGCCATGTGGTGGTGTAGGTTGTGATGGTCCCGATCGGGGTCATACAGTTTTTAGGCGGTGATAGTGGTGCTGATTTTGGGTGGTGATTGTTATGGGCGTGAGCGCCTTTGCTAGTGGTGTAAAATGTGGGGAAAATCTGGACTTTTGGATGTCTAAGTGTTTGGGGTAGGTGGTGGGACGCAGACATCTGATGTGGCACAATCAAACTTGCAAAGAATACAAATTTATGTTTATCTGAAACATCACCAAGTTTGTAATCTCTTTTTTTTTTTTTTTTTTTTTTTTTTTTTTTTTTTTTTTTTTTTTTTTTTTTTTTTTTTTTTTTTTTTTTTTTTTTTTTTTTTTTTTTTTTTATATCTCCAACATCATTTTCATCACTTTTATTTCAAATAATCTTTTCATTATCATTGTGATCATCAAAGAAAAGCATATTTACGTTTAAATTATTTTTCCATCACGATTAATGAAAACAATCAGTAAAAATACAAAAAACATAGTAAATTCTGAATATTACATTATCAACTCCATTTCAGTTCAAACAAAAACAAAAATCACAGCATGAATATATTACTATAAAATCGCTAAAACAAAATAGAATTTGGAGGACTTGAGGAATTTACAATTCCATTTCATAGGAAAATGCAAAAGAAATAATTTCCTAAAGTTTCAATGCCATCTATGTTTGTTCTAAAAAATCCCAACAGACCTGACGGGTAACTGAGATAGCACAGGCTTCAGGCTGATTTTTGAGGAAACACCCAAAAAAAAAAATCAATTTAAAGTTAGTGGGTCAAGTGACCCACCAAGAACTACCTTGGGTCCGCAGTCCGCCGGTGGTGGTGGTGATGCTAGCCATGGTGGTGATTGATTATTTTGGATTTGTTATTTTTTAATAGTGTTTTGGTAGTGCTGGTTGTGATGTTGACTGCGTTGGTGAGGTGGTGATGGTCGGCAATGATAGTGTGGTGGTAGTGGCAGTGGTGGGGTAGGATGGTGTGAGGTGCGAGTGTTTGTGATCAATTATTTAGTTGACTGTGAGCCAATAAATTGATTTATTTGTGACCAATAAATAATATATGATTGATTATTTGAGATTGTGATCAATAAGTTGAATTTTTTTATTTGATAATAAATAATATGTGGTCGATAACTTGTAAGTTGTGACTTATAAAATTTGTGATCGATAAATAAATTGTGATCTATAATTTTTTTGAGTTATGACGGATAAATAAATTGTAATCTATAAAAAAAATTTACGATCGTGAAATAATTTGTGGTCTATAAAATTTTGCGTTTGTGATCTAGAAATATTTGTGATCAAAAAGTATAAAATTGTGACCTTCATATATTTAATTAATAAAATATATATTTAATTAATTATTCTATTATTAAAATATAATTAATATCTCAAATTTTAAACCTTTTCTCTTTATTTTGAAATTGATTATACTTAGTCTCTCATATATGATTTTAGGAAAGGTGCTTCTCTCTCTAACCATAAAGTAGTTGTCACTGATGGGACAGCCAACTGAGAAATTGACTCCGATTTGAAGGTAGTGCTCACTTTCTATCTTCCATGAATTTCACCTGTCAATATTTATTTCTATGTTTATCGTCCATTATATTTCATTATACATACTCACTATCTTTTATGGACGATTTTATAGGGAAATTGAGCTCTATTTTTTCTTTTTTAAAACTAAATTACTGATTGAAACTTCAGTAACAACGCATGAGAAATTCGGGACGCACACATGTGCATTTGCATATACTAATGGAAATTACAAACATTCGTTAATTTTTATTAGGCATAAGGGTTAGAGTCTGCATTAAGTTAATTCTTAGATAAAGTTGGCAACAAATCCCATGACAAAGTCTAATCCTTGACAAAAGTGACGGGGTGAGTGGTATCTTCATGTGGAACTGATCATTTTGCAACAAGAGAGCTGAAGAAGACAGTAAAAAAAGGCGGGAAAATTTTGTATTCTTAGTCAATGAAAATGGCGTGATACATTGGATATTTATAGACAGTGCAGTAACTAGAGTGTACAAAAAGACAAAAATAACCCTGTACAAATTACAAATTTATCTCAATACACCCCCTCAAGATAGAGTATGAATATTCAATACTCCCATCTTATTTAGCAGCAGCTGGAGTCGTGTTCCACTTAATGATTTGGTTAGCAAGTCAGCCAATTGATCATGTGATGCTGTATAGATCATTTTTACTTCTCCTGCTTGAACTTTATCCCTTACCAAATGACAATCGATCTCTATGTGTTTCGTGCGCTCATGAAACACGGGATTATTAGCAATGTGTATGGCAGATTGATTATCACAAAACAATAGTGCTGCCTGATTATGTCCAACACCCAAATCACAAAGAATGTTCTTCAACCAACTTAATTCACAAACCGCAGCTGCCATTGATCGATATTCTGCTTCAGCTGAGGACCTCGAGACCGTGTGTTACTTTTTGGATTTCCAAGATACAAGTGAGTTCCCCAGAAAAATGCAATAACCGATTATAGATCTTCTAGTGTCTGAGCAAGCTGCCCAATCAGCATCGCAAAAGCCTTTAAGGTGCAAATCAAGGTTTGCTTCAAAGAATAGGCCCTGACCTGGTGTGCCCTTTATGTACCTCAACACATGGTAAGCTGCTGCCAAATGTGGCTGCTTTGGAGATTGGAGGAACTGACTAAGCAGCTGCACCGCATATGATAAGTCAGGTCTTGTAATTGTTAAGTATAGAAGTCTACCTACTAGTCTTCTATATACACTGGCATCTGTGAGTGCTTCTCCTTCATTCATACTTAGCTTCAAATTGTGTGGTAAAGGGCTATTTGCTGGTTTGGCCCCAGTATATCCAGCATCTGTTAAAATTTCCAATGCATATTTACGTTGGCAGACTGATATCCCCTTCGAAGATCTAGCAATTTCAAGTCCTAGAAAATATTTCAGAATTCCTAGGTCTTTTAGCCTGAACTGATCATTTCACTCCTTTTTGAATTGTTCTATATGGTCCAGATCATTAACTCCTATAATTATGTCATCTACATAGATGAGGAGAACTGTAAATGAGTTGCCTTCCTCCTTACAAAACAATGAATAATCTGATTTTGATTGTCTAAACCCCTTTGATAAGATGTATGCAGTCAACTTTGCATTCCACTACCTCGACGCTTGCTTAAGTCCATAAATGGACTTGTTTAGTTTGCAAACCAGTTGCTCTCCATCCACCCCCGCTCCTCATATCCAGGAGGCATAAGCATATATACCTACTCATCGAGGTCACCATGCAAAAAAGCATTATTAATATCCAGCTGATGAAGATGCCAACATTTCTGTGCCGCAACAGCCAACAAGGTCTTCACTGTGACCAGTTTTGCAACGGGTGAAAAGGTTTCCTCATAGTCCAACCCAGCCTGCTGTGTGAACCCTTTGGCTACAAGGCGAGCCTTCTTTCTTTCCTCCGAACCATCTGCATGAAGCTTGACCTTAAACACCCATTTACAAGCTATTGGTGTCTTGTGAAAAGGCAGCTTAGTGACAGTCCAAGTATTATTGGACACAAGTGCTTGATATTCAGTATCCATAGCCCTGCACCAATCCTGATGTTGTGATGCTTCGGCATAGGATTGAGGCTCATAGACAGTAGAGAGAGCCAGTGCATATTTTCTATGAGCAGATAGCATATTGTAGCCCAAATAATCTGAAATGGGGTACTGCTTACTAGATGCAGAACCTTTTACCAAGGAATCGGATTGGGGATAAGGCTTCTGAGACACCAAACTACAATGGTAATCACGAAGGTATGAAGGAGGGTGTTTGGTTTTGTTAGATTTTCGAGTGACAAGAACAGGTGAATCAGATTCATCATAGGAGAATGATGATCAAAACTGAATTCTGGAGTGCTAGAAGAAAAACCAGGAGGAAAAGTAGCTGATGTTGGGGAGTGATGATTAGAATGAGTAACTGGGGTATGTGCAGATGGGAAAGATGGAATATCATCAAAAGGATAAAAATGTGGATGGAATAGAGACTGATCAACTTCAAGGGAAAGACTGAAATTTGATAAAGACTTTAGGAGATCTGAGTTATGAAATGGAAATATGTTCTCATGAAATATGACGTCTCTTGAAGCAAGGATGGAATGGGATTGAAGATGATACAATTTATAGGCCTTCATGCCATGGGGGTATCCAAGAAATATACAAGTCTTGGCTCGTGGATCAAATTTTGTTCTATTCCTTTTTAGGGTGGGTGTATAGCAAAGGCATCAAAAGACCCTTAGATGACTGTAAGATGGTTTTTCTTGGTATAACATTTCAAAGGGAGATTTGTTTCCAAGAATAGTAGTGGGAGTTCGATTGATAAGGTGTGTGGCAGTTAATATGCAATCTCCCCAGAACTGGTTAGGTAAATTAGCTTGGAATTTTATGGCACGAGCTACATTAAGTAAATGTTGGTGTTTGCGTTCAACAACCCCATTTTGTTAAGGTGTTTCAACACAGCTTAATTGATGCAACACTCCCTTAGAAAGGTAGAAATCATGCATGTGAAACTCAGATCCATTGTCTGACCTTAAGACTTTTAGGTTGCAGTGGAAATGTGTTTGGATCAAATTATAAAATGATTGGATGATGGACCTAGTTTGAGATTTTTCTTTCATAAGATATGTCCATGTCATCCGGCTATAATCATCAACAATGGTCAAAAAATATTTCGAACCATAGAAGGCGGGAATAGAATGTGGTCCCCAGATGTCACAATGTATGAGATCAAATATGTTTGAACTTCTGGTGTCACTTTTAGGAAAAGGTAGCCTATGTTGTTTTGCTATAGGACAAATGGTGCAATGCAAATGTTGATCAAAGGTAATTGTAGGTACAATTTTATGCAACAGTGATAGTTTGGAAGTAGGAATATGTCCCATTCGACAATGCCATATATCAATGTCAGTATGAATATCCTTTTTATATGGAAGATTACATACAGCAGGATCAGAATTATTACAATCAGGATGTAGAGTAGGAACTTGTACATCACTGAAGGAAGCTACATTGTTGAGAACATGAAAGATAGACTTTGTTGGAATACTTTGAGAAGTGGAAGAAAATTTCCCATTGAGTTGATTATCAGAACATTGGAAATGATATAAACCATCTTCAAGTTTCCCTACCCCAATCGTCTTCCAGGTGAAAAGATCCTAAATAAAGCAAAAGTGATGTAAGAATAACAATAAACATTTATGCTTGATAACAAGATTGCTGGTAGAAATCAGATTGAGGTTGAAGCTTGGCACAACTAATACATCAGTCAAGGTTAATGTATCAGATAGCTTCACAATACCAATGTGTGTAACTTGTGCAATATCCCCATTTGGTAATCTTACTGAACCTTTAGTTTTACTAGTCACAGCAGTCAATTGATTAATGGAACACACCATATGTTCTGAAGCCCTAGTATCAATGATCCATTTACCTGGATTTAGATAGCATGCACGATTACCTGAAAATGCAAAGGCATCAGGTGCATGGGCAGAAGAAGACATAACCTCCTGAGGTTGTTGACCTTGCAGCTGTGGAGCAAGCATGGTCATAATCTACTGGCGTTGACTTGGTGTAATAGTGAGGTTGGACAAAGAATTAATCAGCTCTGAATTATTTGCCTGGGAAGCCTGACTACAGCATTAGCAACTGAAGATTTCCCTTTGGCAAGCCTATGTCCAGGGGAGTATCCAATCAATTTGTAACATTCCCCTCTGAGATGGCCTAACATTCCACAATAAGTGCATATAGGCATTTCTTTCCTTTGAGTTTGATTGGATACATTGTGTCTCTGATTTCCATATGAACTAGACACAGCCTTGTTGGCAAAAGCTGCTATATCAAAACTCTGTTGTTTCTTAGCAACAATTCCTTTCTGCCTTTCATCTTGTAAGACCAAGGCAAACACCTTGTTCAGTGAAGGTAGTGGGTCCATTAATAAAATTTGGCTTCTCACACTGGAAAATCGATCATCTAGACCCATTAGGAATTGCATAACTCGATCTTCAGCTTTGTAGTCTGCACTACTTACTTCCGGCCTATAATTGTCTAATTCTTCCCATAGACCTTTAAACCGATTGAAGTAAGAATTGATGGAGTTATTGTCCTAAGAAATTGAAGCAATTTGCTTCTTTATCTCATAAATTCGAGTTCCATTTCCTTGGCTGTAGCGATCCTTTAGTTCAATCCAAATCTGCCGAGCTGAATCTTTATGCATTACACTTGGATAAAGTTCCTTTAGAATGGAATTTATGATCCAGGAAGAAACTACATGATTGCATCGCCTCCAAGCACCATAAAGCAGGTCATTCTCGGCAGGTTTAACAATGGATCCATCAATAAAACCTTCCTTATTTTTGACACTGAGAGCTATGATAACTGCACGACTCCATGTGGTGTAATTATCCTCAGACAACATGATAGATATGAGCTGCATACCTGTATTGTCGCCATAGTGAAGATAATAAGGACTGTTAGGATCATTTATCGATCGATTAACAGTAGTATTTGCGTCTCCAGCACTCGCATCTGCAACAGAATGATCGACTGCCGAATCAGCATGAGCTGGCTGATGTTGAACCTCTACTTGTTGATTAAACTCTCTTGCCATCGCCAAAAGAAACTTCACTGCTCTGATACCATGATAATTTTGCAACAAGAGAGCTGAAGAAGACAGTAAAAAAATGTGGGAAAATTCTGTATTCTTAGTCAATGAAAATGGCGTGATACATTGGGTATTTATAGACAGTGCAATAAGTAGAGTGTACAAAAATACAAAAATAACCCTGTACAAATTACAAATTTATCTCAATAGGAACAGTGTTATTTTGCTGATTAATATCGTTCCTTATCCTTCAATTGTCATTGGAACTGGTGGTTTCGATGGAGATGGAAGAAGAAGATAAGACAGTTGGGAATCCACAATCTATTTTGTAAGAAATGAATATCACCAAGAAAGAGCAGAGATTTTTCATGAAATTCCCTTTAGTAATTATATTATTGTTCCATATTCGAGTCATGCGGTTCTCCTTACAGCAACTATCTGTCTAAGGATTTGAAGTTCTTCTTTGGCAAACTCTTCTAACATTTTGTAAATGCTTGATTCCTAGCGTGGATCCGAGGACTTCATGATAAAACCTATCGAGCGGTTCGAATCGAAAAAGGCTAAAAGCTTTCACCTTTTTGTTATGTTCTTTATAATTTATGTTTTCTTATATTGCTTCTATAGGATCGTTCTGTTACTACAAAACACTCTTATGATGGCAGAGTGGATTCACTACAGACTTTACACAATCTCTGAATGAAGGTTTGTTTCTTTTTGAAAGTTTTATTCTTAGTAAATTTGTCTTCACAATATGTATTGCTACTTAATTATCTTCTTAGATGAGCTTGCTAGTTTTGATGAAAATTGGAGAATCACTATTGAGGAGAAATTGCTTGGATGGATCAATGGGTTCAAATTACTCGAGAATTGCTAGTTTCTACTTTCTTGATTTTTATTTTATTTTTACTTAAAGAAGAGGGTATACTTGTCATTTTACAACTTTTAATTGAGAAAATGAATGAAAATAACAATTTTCGTAATGAAATATGAAATAAGGGTGAAAATGTCAAAAAATGAAAGATGTTGACGTTTTACACAATAATATTGAAAAGTGGGATGTTTTGTGCTAATTAATTTTTTAATAATTTATTTGAACTCGTTTGCATTTTAAAAAAAAGTTTGGGAGTATGATTGCAATTTATTCTTTAACCTTTTATTTTAGTTTATTGTTTTATTTAAATAGGGTGTATATCTATCATTTTACATGAGAAATTTGATGAAAATGATGATTTTAGCAATAAAATGTGAAGGCAAGGATTAAAATGTCAAAAAATAAAAGGCGTGGACGTTTTGCACAATAGCATTGAAAGATATGGATGTTTTGTGCTAATTACCCTTAAATTTATCTTTTGTAATTTCTAGAAGAGCACGAGTAATGCTATATTTTATAATGTTTTAAAACCTTACACGATTAGGGTTCCTTAGATTCAACAACCTTTTATGGAGGCAATGAAAATATTAATTTCTTGTAGACAAATTTTATTGTAGGATCCAAACATGTTGTGTTGTGTCTGAATCAACATGGGCATTGCATAACTTGTCCCCGAAATTATAATATACAAAAATTGTGTTACGTTTGCTCAAATGGAAACATTACAGCTAATGCGTATGTTAATGAAAATTGAGCAGTGATCAGAGATAAAATAGTCAAACTTTGTTAATATATAATTATATTGAGAATAAGTTAAAAATTGATTTACGTTAAAATGTTTATTTGTTACAGTGATACCTAAATAATAAATTTGTCAAGTGCTGTCTGATTATTAAGTACAAAATGAATTATTTATTTCCTAGTGTTTAATCAAATTATTACATTTTTGTAAAGATAAATATAAGAAAAATAAAATAGTATCTATGTTCTAAACAATTAAAAGTTCCACTTTCCCTCCATAGAATATAATACAAGAAAAAAAAAGGAATCCATGATAGCAAAGAAAGATGAAGCAATGAAAACACGTAGCATGACACCCTGTAAAATGGAATTGAGCTTGGACTACTCGATTTTAATAATAACCTTTAAAAGTTCTGATATAATTATCTCAACATCGACTCACTGACTTAACCAAGGAACCTAAATCAATTACCCAGTAAAAAAAAGTAGATTAAGCTCAATTATACGTTAGAAACATGTCAACTATGTAACGTGGAAAAAAAAAATCAAACAACTAAAGATGTCCATTAAGTCCTTGTTTGGTAAAGCTCTTTTTGCTTAAAAAAATCAGTCAAATCGATTAAATTTCATGTTAATCATATATTTCATGACACCCACAACTTTTATTCACTTTTTAACCAAACATTTCATAGAATCCAAGGACTTTTATCAAACTTTATTTGCTAAAATACTATATCTAATAGACTATATATATTACTCACTCCTACAATTGTTGAAATTTAAGTCTTATAACAAGAACAGTCGCCTACTTTGAATATCAATTTCAATCAATTAGCTAACACTCGAAAGAGATTGAATTGACTAACCAACCTATTATTCTCAACATCAACACAAACCATTCGACTCACCATATTGATGTTATATTCTTAATTAAAAATAGAAAATTTATTAAATAGGGAATAAATATTAATAACATTTATAGACTAAGAAGAACAAGTTAATCTACCATTGTCAAACATATATATTTTAACGTTATTGTTCAAACTTCAACAATGCCAGCTATCAGCAGAATCTTTTCACCAAAAAACCTCCCTCAGTTACTCCATGCATGCAATTTATATATATATATATATGTATCTGTATATTTATATGTATGTATAGAGCTGAAGACTGAAGATCTTCTCTTATCATTGAAGAAAATTCAACAAAGTACAGAAAGAAACGGATAGAAATGGCTTCTTGGTCTGCAAAAAATGCCACTGAAGCTTTTCTCCGAACCCTTAAAATGGTATATCAATTCGTCATCTATTTAACATCTTAAACTTCTATACGAGATGATCAATCGCTATCTTTGTTTTTTCTGATAAGAGTTTTGGTCAACATCTGTAGGGCAAGAGAAGGATGGAGCCCAACACAGTGGAGTTTATAGCAGCTCTCGCGGCGGGCAACAGTGCGCAGCTAATGGTCATGGCATGTGCTGCCACTGCCGGATCCGCCACCCTATCCCTGGTGGCCGCTGCACATCAGACCGGCGGCCGTGCTGTGTGCATCTTGCGGGGGCTCAATGAGTTGGATGCGTCACGAAAAACTCTCGATCGATATGCAGATTTCGTCGAATTTGCTATCGGGGATGCTTGGATTTTACTACAAAATCATTATAAGTTCGCAGATTTCGTGATTGTTGATTGCAAAATGGATGAATATAAAGCAGTTCTTGTGGCTGCACGGGAAGGAATGAACAAAAAAGGAGGCCTTATTGTAGGGTACAATGCCCTTCACTGCAGTGAGTTATGGTGGGGGGATTTGAGTTTGAAACCCCATTTTCTGCCCATTGGAGAGGGTTTGATGGTTATTAAAATTCCAGAAAATGAGAAAGTTAAAAAGAAGAGCCATTGGGTTATTGAAGTTGACAAGTGCACTGGTGAAGAACATGTTTACAGGATCACTTCCCCACAAACCAAGTGATATTTTAGCACAATGTTTAGTATACTGGACCGGACGGTACATGATTGATAAACTTCTGTCATGAAAGCTTGTTCCTTTACATTGAACGTATGGTTAACTAACTTGCTAGAGTTGTAATTAATTAGCGATTGATATTGTAATAATCATCACTGTTGTTCCTTGTATTTTCAAAGAGGGTGGATGTATCAGGTATTGACAATAAGAATGCGATGAAAAAATGTAAAGGACGTAAATGTGATCATGACTTGAGTTTATAGACCTTTCCATCAGACAAGTTGAATAAGGAGCTTTGCAGAATAGACAGATAGAAAATTAAACTAATTTTCATTGATTCCAGAAACCTGCTAATCATAATATAAATGAGTACCACATAAGCACAACACCAGAGTTCGGTTGGCTGAGAGTTGAGAAAACTCGTACAGATACGCCTAAATCCTCTCGAGAAAATCGAAGACAATCTGCCTGAGCTACTTATTTTCAGATTGCCTTTTTTCAAGTTCCTACAGAAAAAGCTGCTTACTGGAACAAGTTAGACTAGCCGGAAATCATGTCATTGAGTTCTTGAATTATCGTTCTGATGGCTGGCCTCTGGTCCGGCAATTCATGGGTGCAAAGAAGAGCAAGCTTTCCCAATTTAGCAGCCTCTGATTCCTTGAATTTGCCAACAAGGTTAATATCGATAAAGTCTTGGAATCTGGATATTTCAGCCCCATGACGGTTCGACTGTGTAACTCTACATTTCCCGGAAAGGATTTGAAATATAATCATACCGAATGCATACATGTCGCTCTTGTCAGTGAACCGGCCAGTGGTTGTATATTCGGGAGCAAGGTATCCCATTGCAGCACTGCCCTTGAGTGCTGAGAAGACAATGTCATCTGCGAATAATTTGTGGAGACCAGAATCAGAGAGGAGCGGGTTGTAATGATGGTCGATGAGCACCTTTTCAGCCGAGATGTTTCGGTGAACCAGAGCAGGTTTGTGGCCCTTGTTTCCATGCAAGTATTCAATACCTTTTAACAATGACAATCAGATTTCCGCAAAAACAGTCAGGCACTGATTAATTTTTTCTAGAAATTAAGCCCTAATCCCAAATGGAAAAGCAATAGTAACTAAAACACGAAACCAGTAATACACAAAGCACAGAGAGTTATAGTGATTCAAAGCTACGTCAAATTATGGCTGCAGGTTTTTTGCTAGAATGAAGAGTAAAAGGATCTCACTGCTCTCTTGACTTAAAAAGAAAAAGACCACAGCCTACAAAGGAACAATAAGATTAGGTTTTACATAATCCAATGTATTATCTTTAAGCCTTTTTTTAGTAGGATACTGTTAGACCATTACGGTGGAACTGCTCTATGAACACGCTAATTATTACTTTCAACGACACAACTTTTTAACATTTCCAACATAGGACTTAATAATATTTTCTAGCAGGGTACACGTAGATTTATAGCCATCATTCATCCAGCAGGTGTTGGAAGAATTTTGTGAATAGTGACGCCGAAATAAGTATAATGATGTGTGAGGAATAGGACACCCAAAGGGTCCTATTTATAGACCATGAAAGGGTGTGGACGAAATGGTTGAGGCCAAACCATGCACCCTTTCCAAACAATGCACCTTTATGAAAAGGTGTCTATTCACTAATGGTTGAGGTCTTTTTCGTAATTTCTCATTCATCCGATATTGGTTTTCGAAATGCCAAATATACCCTTCAATACATGCAGAGAAATCAAAATTCTCTTTCGGGGGCGTTGCCCCTGACCCCCCACGAGGGGCGCTGCCCCCTCGACCCTCGCGACCTGACCGTTTGTGCGCCCCGAAGCGGCGAAGTGGCAAACAATTTTGCCTAAACGGATTGAGTCGAACTTTTGAGTATTTGGCCGAATTCGATACGAACTTTAATCGATTTTCAATTCTCAATTTATTTAACCAATATCCAACAGCAGGTACACATTAAACTCAGCGGATCCATTTTAATTTCAAGTACAGGAACCCCCCCCCCCCCCCACAAAAAAAATTAGTAGTTTCATTTAAGGGTCATGTTTGATAAGCGGACAGGATTTGGCAGCATAATGAAAAAGATTTTAACTTAATCTTCATTAATATTGTCAAGTATAGTCCATTCCACGAGCTGTTAAAAATTGGACATGCACAAGATAATGAAGAGCACAACATAAACTGACCTTTGGCGATGCCTTTGATTATTGATGTTCTAGTAGACCATTCAAGGAACTTCCCATTTCTGTCCTTCATGTCAAGGTATTGCAACAAGTTCCCATTTGGTACGAAGTCATAAATAAGGAAGCACTCTCCGCGGCTCTTCGAACAACAAAAGCCCCTCAACCTTAAAATGTTTTCATGTTTCAACACAGTCAATAATTTCAATCCCTTTGAGAATTCTGTTTCATCAGACTTGCAACTAGTTTTAGATATGCATTTAATAGCAACAACAGAACCATCCCGTAATATCCCCTTATAAATAGCCGAAAAACTACTCTTTCCCAACAAATTCGTCTCCGAGAAGTATTGAGTTGCAGATTCGACTTCATCCAAATTGTACATAAAGCTTTCGAAGAACTCCTGGGAGAAACTGTTTCCGCTTTGACCCTTGACTAAAGGTTCCCAACCATTGGAATATTCGAGACTGATAAGAGGAGAGGCGCTTCTCCTGCAAACCTCCCGAGTCTGATCAGTACTCGGTCGACCGTCACCAGAATCAAAGGCACTTCCAATTTTTTGTTTGCGGCGACGATACCAGGAAAAAGTGAAAAGTCCTGCCACTGCCATGGCAACAACCAGGCCAATGACTCCGACAACAGCACCAGAACTTGGCTTTCTGGACAGATATCCATTTTGTTGGACGTTTGCAGACTCAGGTAAATCTTTTGAAGGAAGATGATTAGTACCAGATGCAAATGGTTCTGGTCTATCTGAATTTGGACCAGAAGCAGTGCACAATTTCAAGGAAGAAAAACTTAGTCCACATAAGCCAGGATTATTCGCGTACTGAAAACCTTCATTGAGTCTCTTCAAAGCTTCATCGCAACAATACAAGAAAAGAAACAACGTTATTAGCTAAAATATCATTGAGTATCTTATTAAATCAAGCATGAGACAGGAGAGAAAAAAAAAGATACAGAGTTCACATTAACAAAAGTTGAGTTACCTAAAGGGACATTCCCAGAGAGAGTGTTATTTCGGATATCTAGGACTTTTAGCATTGGTAAACCAGCCACTTTTACTGGGATCAAACCGAATAGGTGATTAAAGCTCAGGTCCAACCTTGTTAACCTCACTAAATTCTCCAAACTTGCAGGAATTGCACCGGTCAACTGATTGGATTGAAGAGCAAGAACATAAAGTTCCTTAAGAGACCCAAGTCGAGAGGGTATGCCTCCAGTAAATTTGTTGTAACAGAGCTGTAGGACTGAAAGAAAAAATTCAAATTTTCGGTTAAGTTAGCATGGACAACTTCAGAACTTGGAATATGACAATACGTCCAAGCTAAAAGCATGTTAGAGGACCATTCCTTTTGACAAAATTTATTAGTCATCTATAATCGGTCAAATTCATTTTTAGAATTCCATTGGATCCACAAGTATTATTCACCACTCATTTCTATCTATTTATAAATTAAACCATTTACAAATTCCTCCCAAGCAGAGGCTTAAATTCTTCGAGAAGGTCAAATTTAATTATTTAAAGTTTGTCTTCTGCCAGACATGCAGGTGGACTTATTTTTGCACCAAAGGCCGAACATGTTCACAATTTTCGTAAATGAAGACAGTGAGACTTGAACAACAGAATTCATCTTTTGTCATATTGAACCATCTTATCCATATGCTAATGAGCAAATTTGTATATAAAGCAATTTTTTGTTTGGAACAAGAGTAAGAGTAAGATCACTGTAATTTCTAGTTATACACGGAAACGGCTTTGTCTTATACATATGCTTCTATACCTGGAAGGAAGCTCCTTGAAGTTTAACAGGAAAATGAAGAGACGTCTCCAAAATTGTGGTCTTCTATATTACACATTAACTTTGATCGCTAGTAGGTTCAGTAATTTGAACCAGATGAATAAGAGCAAAGAAACCACACAAAAGTTTGTGTCTCCCTCTTTCTCTTCTCCTCATTTTCTCTCTCTCTCTTTTTTTTTTTTTGGAAAAAGTTTAGAGAACAAAGGGTTTTATTTTCTTCCCATTCAGCTTTCTGCTGCATCTTGACACCAATAATTTTGCAGGGAAAAGAGAACGAAAATTTTATTTAAGACGAAATATCAAACAATTATAATTTTGTGTTTAATGTGTAAGTGAAGCAAAGATCTAGGTCCCGTCTGTTTCCCATTTATCTAAAAATGTGTGAATGAAAAATATATTCGTTGTGTGTACCACACAAATGATAGAGCTGCCTTTGTAAGAATGAGAATGAAAAATATATCCAGTACATAAGAGATCAAAAGTCAAATATAATCGATGACAATTATATTTTTCATTTTAATGGATAAATAATGAGAAACTAACGGGGCTTAAATTCAAATTTGATGACCTGATGCAATGAATAACATCATATTTTTCATTTTAACGTAGAAATAATGGGAAACAAACGGGGCTAGAATCCAAGATGAAATTTTACACAAAACATGATCAAAATGAGGGATCAAATGCAGTCTGGATCAAGTCATCAAGACTGCATCTTTTTTCCAGAAACAAAGAAGCAGAAGAAGAAGCCAGAACTAAATGATTTGGCAAAGCTGAAAAAAATATATTTATAAGCAGATAAGATACTTATAAAATAAATATTTTTTATTGATCGAAGTTTGAAATAGAAAACTAAAGATTGCGTTAATTATTTACCATCAGTAAGAAACAAAAATGTATCGAAAACAAAATTTTACTTAAAAGTCTTGGCCAAAAAGCTATAAATTACCAAAAATAAACTGCTACTTTCTATATTTTCTTTAAAATAAAAATAAAAAAATAAACGCAAAATCTGACCTTTTAGAGCAGACATATCACCAATCTGAGGAGGTATATTACCGGAAAGATTATTCACATTAAGATACAAGTCAGTGAGCTCGGTCAAGTTAGCTATTTCTTTAGGCACAACCCCATGGAGCTGATTAAAGTGCAAGTACAACCCAGACAAGCTCTTGAGTTGACCAATCTCAGGTGGGATTTGACCAGAAAGCCCTTTTCCTTGCAAGGAAATGTTGAGAACTTCACCATTCTCAC